AGCTTCCTCTACGTCCAACGTGAGGCACAAAGGTAGACACTGATGTTTCCGGGAACCAGCAGCCTCTGATCGCAGTCAGAGACAGGGATTGATCTTTTATGCATTTGCTAATCCCGTGGAATCGCTGGGCTCTCGCATGAAATCGATAGACCGGCTGTCGAACTGTTGTATTCACTCTTACATCTGACTGAAACGAGCAAGGATCGGATAGGCGTCGCGGAGTGGGTCGGCTTGATGGAAATGACAGAGTATGCCAAGATGGTATGTGGGGGCATCGCAGCTTTATCGACAAGCTTTCCATTTTGCCGCATCGGCACCAGCCCGAACCGTGTGTATGGCTCCAGCTCTCGGAATCAGGGCGCTGTATCCACCTCCGAGCGGCTCACTGGACCACCGTTCTATTTCGCAGGATCCTCGAATTCGAGAGTCTACCCGAGAGATCATGGGCCACTACAGCCAGCTCCACCAACTTATGAATAATCTTGCCGGGTTATCGGACAGAGTTCTCATGTCACGGGGCCACAATTAGTACTGCACGCTACCGATTCCCGGCGTCCACTGTCTCATTTCGGCGCTTCGGAGGTGCTCTGAGCACCCGAGAGGCCTTGGGATATGGGACAAAAGCGACATCACCACATGAGCCGATGGTCGCCCCCGAGCCACTTGCAAACAATCCCCAAGAATTTGCCTAATGCGTATCAAACTGCAGCTTACACTTTATTCAGAAAAAAACGGGACAATATAGCCGTTTCCATGAACAGTAGTATGTGCTGTGCTTGCGTCAAGCAAAGCCACAAGAAATAAAACAGATCACTTTGGCAGCCTCCGAGTGAAGACCACCGGTCGCTCTCCGGTCTCCACAATCGACCTGCATACTGTGATCATGTTGCGCGCCGCATTGACGTCGCGATTCCACACTGTCCGGCAGCTGGGATTCTTGCAGCTCCTGACAAAGTGGGAATTCGCAACACTGGGCGCATCGAGTCCTTCCAACCGAACTGGCTCCAGGCACTTGGAGCACACTTGCGAGGTGTTGAACTCGTTCGTCGAGGCCACCTTGACGCTTCCATGATGGTGATTGGGACGGCGTCGGTGGTGCTCGAATTGCTCAAAGTACCGAGCAAACCGCTGCCTCCGAGGGCTGGATGCATAGCCCTTGCCTTGACGCCATGACGCATTGCCAAAGGCGATCACCACATCGGTCCGTATCGGGGCGTGCTTCAGGACCGACTTACACATCCTGTCGACGGCCACTTGGCGTCTCCTGTGGCCCGTGAAGCGATGGTGACGGGCCTTCTTGCCAAGGTGGAAGTCGAGCTGCACTCGCAGCTCCGGTCGCAGGACATGGGCGAGATGGATCTTGAAGGCCTCCGAGGACGACACCTTGGGCGAGGGGGTGGTCGACATCTAGGTCTCGATGCTGAGTCGATACTTCATGGTGTTGTGCCACTCAGTATTGGACGTATGGCCACACATTTGCTGATAGTGACCATTGGAGAACGAGACCACCTCGTCTTGGTGGCTCGGTGCTTGGATGACCGCCGTGAAGATGGAGCCGACTCCAGGATCGATGCCAATCCAAGTGGTCCTGTTGGGGTCTGGGTCGCCGATGTGGGTCTGGATACGCTGCTCGGCAGTCGGAGGAGGCTCGATGGTCTCGGTGTGATCGGTTCGAGGCAGAAACTTGACGAGACCGATGGTGCATCCAATTCCATCGGTACTGATCTCGTAGTTGAACAGTTTCTTGTTCACGTCCCGCTCTTGGAAGAGGGAACTACGCAGCTTGAAGCAACTGCGCCAGAGACGATCCTGGTTGTTGACACCGTCATCACCTTCTTCCTTGAGCTTGTCCCTGGTGAGTCCAAGGCGCTTCTTTGGACCCAGGAGTTGCCAAAGAGTGACGGTGTCGATCTTGACATACTTGGCCTTGGCTGTGCACAGAGGGACCATCGTGCACACGGCCGGAGGAGTGTCAAGAGTGAGCTGCTTGAGTGCCCAGTTGATCCTGGATGCCAGCTTGTTGATCTTGGCCTTGGTGGTGCCGAGCTCAGACTTGGCCGTGGTGAATCGCTTGTCGTCGGAGGGAATGCCTTGGGTAGTGAGCTCGTCCAGCTTGGCCTGGCGCTGCAGCTCGGTGACTCGGAGGGCGGGCATGTCACAGTCGATCCACTTGTGGACATTGTCGACCATCTTGTCCCGGGCGAGGATTCCCACATGGTGTGAGAGGCGATGGAGGGCCCGGAAGCGGTCCTGGTCGCTGCTGTACCGAAACTCGTCCAGGACGTGGCCAAAGTCTGGATAGAGGAACTCGAGATCGGCCTTGGGTGGAGTCTGCCCTGGTTTCTCGAAGAGCTCGAGACAGGCCTCGATGGCTTCGTGCTTGTGCTTGTTGGCAGGGAAGACGGCAGCGCAGAAGCGGCGAAGGAGTCGCCAGTAGGCCAGGTCGAGGTGGGTGGTGCAGTTGGTGGCATAGGCGTTGACAGCCAGTGTGAGAAGCTGACTGTGAGCACCATCAGGCAGACGAGGGGCCGGAGGCAGGTCTGCGTGCCGAGTGGTCTGGTAGTCGCGAAAGGAAGCGACCAGATGCTCGTTGTATTTCTCGTTGTCCCCGGTCGGGGAGAGGGCATCGGCCTGGACAATCGTGAAGCATTGGCGGATGAAAGCAGGGGTGGACTTGGAGATGACGGGGACGGGAAGATCCTGCTCGATGCACCGGAGGATATGCAGGTTGAGCAGCCTGGATGCCTCGAACTGGATCTGGGTCATGGCCTCGACGGTGGCCTGGATCTTGTCGCGGAGAGCGGGATTGAGACAACAGCTATCCATCGTCTGCTTGAAGCAGCTGAACTGAGGGGCGGATGACCTTCCATCCACGAGTGGGACGACAGAGCTCTTGAGGGGCCGGTATTTGGGACACTTGCTGGTGTTGCAGCGTTCGTGATCGGTGCCATCGCACTGGCGACATCGCTTGCCGGTACTCGAGGAAGTAGATGGACCAGGCTCGGTGGGATCGACATCCATTGGATCTGCAGAAGCAGTGGTGGTGAGCGACGGAGCAACAGAGAAACAAGCATGCGTGGGATCAGAATACGAACCAGAGACAGGCTCCGACTGTGACTTGGCTTTCTTGGGCCTGGGTGGCCGAGGCTGGCCATCACCGGTACCCTTGCGCTTCGGAGGCATGGGGGCAGAGGATGCTGGATGCCTGCCAGTGGTACTGGTCAGAGCAGAGACTTTTTTTTATCGTACAATAGCGCGATGATCAGATCAAGGCGAGATGAGGGAAGAAAGCAGCAGGACGAAGGTGTGGCATTTATACCCGAGAGCAGGAGCCCGTCTTTGCGGGCTGGTTGGGGAAGTGACCCTGTTCAAAAATCGCCGAGAGGCTCAAGCCAGGGATGTGAACGTGAGAACGGCGGCTTGATTGGAGGGAACTCAACCCCAGAAGCGCATCGCTCGCTCAATCAGCCGTGGGAAGACATCTGGAAGCACCCTCCGAACGGCAGACTCAAACAGGGTCACCATCCCGATCTTGAACCCCTCGGAGGCGTTCAGCGCTGCTGCCTTCCTGTACTGATGCTTCACAATCCCAAAGAAGTTCTCGATGGGATTGAAGTCGGGCGAGGCAGGTGGGGTGAAGATCACTGACCATCCTCGGCGCTCGATGCAGTCCAGGACAGGCATTGTCTTGTGCATGCTGACATTGTCCATCACAATCACAGAGTCGTCTGGGAAGCTCGCTCGCTCAAAGAACTCGACCATCGAGTGTGTCTTGAATGATGTGGGGATGTACATGCGATGCAGCACACCAGAGTGGTTGATGGCAAATGCAGCCGAGACAGACTTGTGCTTCATGTGATTGCGCTGGCGAAGCGGAGCACCCTTCGGTGAGTATCCGTAAAGAGGGAAAATGGATCTCCTGATCCCTGTCTCGTCGACAAAAACGAATCGTCGTGGGTCAATGGAGCGGGCCTGGTCCCTGAACTGTGCCACTCGCTCATCCAGTCGCTTGGACTTGTAGAGGTGTGTTGCCCTCTTGTGTGAGAGACCTGCTCGGTGGATGGCAGTGTGGCAGAGTGAGAGTGATACTTTCCTCTGGAGGATGGACTCGAGCTTGCATCGCAACACAGGACCAGTCTGGAACGGGTCCTGTTCAATCAGGGTGCGAATGACTGGACATGCCTGCTCGAAGAAAGTGGATCTGCGAGCTGGGACCCGGGATGGGTCATCCAGCTTGCATCCTCGGTGCCATCGATGGATGGTGCTCTTGGATACACTGAATATGGTGGCGACCTTACGCAGGCTATGGATGAGGGCGTAGCATCGCAATGCGGCGGTGCGAAAGTCGGATGTGTGGCGAATGGTCATGGCCAGCGCGCGATGGTTTTGGGTAACAAAATATTCGATGAATGGTCAAAAATCCGGGTGTCCCGTTTTTTATTGGATTGCCTGTAATCCGGACGTGCTGTGGGAGGGTTGGCTCGCTTGTTATAACCGTAATCATCCCAAGCTGGAGTAGATGCTGCTGCCTCTGCCGCAACGGCCCCTCTTTGGTTCTGGCTCTGGTTCTGGTTCTGGCTCTGGCTCTGGCTTCTGAACACGCACACATCTACCCTGTGATCCTGTGTGCCCGAGAGCATTCTCGAGGTCCAGACGCTTTACACCCCCGGGTATCAGGCCCATGCATCGCACCCGTGTCCCAGTCCTGAATCGTCGTGGCAACACGAATGTAAGCACGATCCTGAGTGCGAGTTGATCATCGCTTACGAGTATCGACCGCATATGTTGACAACGGTACTTCATGAAACGATGCGATACACACAAAGGCCAGCCACAATCCCACAGGCCTCGGCTGCGCGACCAGCAGGGAAGTTGGGTTGGCAACCTTATCGCTGCATAGACTTTCCCTTGGCGAGTGATGGTGCCGTGTTGTGCGAACACACCTTCGATAAGGCTTAGGCTTTGCAATCACACGTCTTTCAAGAAATCTGGTATAGTAGCTATGATTCTTGGCACGGTTGCTCGTATTCCTTCAGGATCATTTTCAATTCCTGATGACACTCAAGTTCAGTATTGATAGGAAGTCAAGAATGGCCAATTTCCAGTATCAGAGATGCTATCTGAGCTCGCAGAACATGAGTACTCACCTTGTACCGCAAATAATCAACTTGGATGGGAGCTCTATCTCTGGATGTTTGCACGGGTCGTCCCATCCGCTGCATGAATTCATCCTGATAGGCGTGCAACTTGATCTGCAGGACCTTCTTTTCATAGCGCAGTTTTTTCAACCTGCCACACGTGCAGTTGATCAGCAACGTAAGGCATGGCCACAAATGCCGGCCCGTATGCTCGCTCTCCCTTCAGGTTCAATCGTCGCCCCGAACCACGCGATCCTGGCTGACAATCTCTGCCAACAACTTACGCTTCCATGGAGCCAGTTGCCGGTGAGTTGATGGAAGCGAGAGACGCTGATTCCTTTGCTGATGCAACTTGACCGTCGTTTTTCTCAATCAGAGCACGAATCTCACAGTACCTTCGATAGAGCTCGCGCAAGATGTCATGGTCTTCGAAACCGCTCTAGAATCCAGAGAATATTGATAGACGATGAAGCAAAGCCCTGGATCATACCATTGCCATACCCATTATTGGCATACTCACCATTGTATCTCCTGCCCCGTCAATACTCTGCTATACGACCCGGCATACCTGTTGATCGGTTTCGGTAGACTTTCTAAGCTCGTATATCTCTCGCTTGATGTCGACTTTTTCTTGGCAAAGCTGCGTGATCGTCATGTCGTCGAGAACATACGGGCGATTTTCAGCACGACGCTTGAGCTCAAGACGATCGAGAGCGTCTTGACCCGGTGATGTCCGCTCTTCTAGATTTGCGATTCCAAAGGTGGGGACGGTCAGCTGCACTGCAAATGTCAAGCAAACAAGTTATACTATCAGGGGCACCGCACCATTGAGCATCTTCTTCAGTTCTATGATCCTCATTTCCCTTGACAAAATCGCTTCACGATCAACTGCAAGACTGGCCGCTCGTTGTGCGGCCGCCTCTTTCTGAAGCCGGCGCAATTCAATTGCCAGCCCCTCGACTCCAGATGCCAAGATATCACTTCTGTGGTCTACTGGCGATTTCCTGTCAAGCTGCACGTTGCTCTCGGACAGACTAGATGAATGGCAATAGTGAGAATCAAAATGTGCGAATGCGGCCACGCTGTATAGATCCAGATTCCAGACCCAGTATGTTGCAACTACCCCTCTTTCTTAGTCTTGTAAAGACCAGACTCACCAGCTCGCATTTGAATGGAGAGAATCGACAGAGCGGTGCCATTTCCCCGGTTCATTGACTCGTACGTCCGAAGATTGCCTGGCTCCACTGTGAGCTTTGGTATTGGCTGTGAAACACTTTGATATCAGCACAGTGGGAGCAACTTCATCTGAATCTCATGACCCCGGATTCGATTTGGGCGGACACAGTGTGTTCAGGTGCAGCCATACCGCTTCCATTGGATTTTTCCAAAGCTGGTACCGATTTGGTCATTGGAGTTCGTGGAGTTAGCGGTGTGAGCGGCGTGAATGGCGTGAATGGGGTCAGGGGCGTTGCCAGTGACCGAAGAGACGACTCAAACGACACTTTTTTCGTTTGCTGATGACCGGTTGGCGTATCTGTCACAATGTTGAGGCTCTTGTTTTTCATGTGCTTGGGGAGTCGCTGATGGTTTGCCGGTGCGATCTGTAACGATCACGAAATGGTATCAGTCTCGAGGGCCAGCCGCAAATGACACGGTGGCGCAGGCACTGGGTTCTTCAGACAGGGTCTCAATGGGTTTCAATGGAAATAAAACAGAGTTTCAAGAGATGTACTGATAGGGATCGCAGTTAATTCAGGCATTTGAGACCGTGCGGCATATCTTACAGTGCTATGCGAGGCTGCTTTGCCCAGACTTAGACATCCATTGACGATGCGTTCTGAAGGGATCGCATCAGGTAATTTGGACTGTGGCTTCGTGGATGAATATGATTGTTCAATCGGAGAAGACTCGCTGCCGGAACTGTCCAACTCCCCGCTGCTCCGACTGCAGCGATCTGGGAAACATGCGTTTTTCGGAGTCTCTGGCCTGGTCCTGGGGCTCGACGAGGCCGACGGTCTGCGCAACTCTGCCATGACAGCAGTGCTTTCGGCATCCCATCTGCACTGAGCCGTTTCTGAGGCCGATATTGGTCGTCTAATCCCATCGTCAAGTTCTGGTCGAGCAAGTCTCTGGAACTGCGGGAGAGGCGGTACTGCACTTGCGGGCGGAGGCGGAGGTAGCGATGGGTCTTTGTTGGAGATCACCTTCGCTGGTGGTGGGGGCGCTTTCCGGCGAGGTGGCTTGGGGCGACTCTAGTGAGCGAGAGAGATCCGACAATCTGACGATGAGTTTGTTCGCCAAACCTGCGAATCTGCTCAAGCATTCCCGAGCCACCTATCCCTTTGGCCAGCTCCATGAGTCATTGGCCGAAACGAAATAGTGCCTACCGCCTTTGAGATCGAAGCTTGCTCAAGTTCGAGGCGCTCGGGTGCTTGATTCTCATTCGTGAAGCTCGATAGTTGAGCAGGCTGAAGTATCCTGGGAGTATCGGCTGGCCTTAGCTTCGTCTCGCGTTCGTTAAATGAAAGAGACGATGTGACTTACTGTGTGGATTGATCGCCAGATCGGACCAGACCATATGGCTCGTGAACAGACATGATACCGACGGAAACCTTGAGAGGAACCAATGGTTTGCTCGTCACCCAACCAGTTGACATGTAAATCCTCTTACTTGGTCACACGATGGCACCATGCTTGTCGAAAACAAATCCCATTCTACCTCCACAGTCGCTTTCATTGTTTGGGGCTCGCTGCAGGCCAAAGTTCTCTGCTGGTCGGAAGAAGTGCACGAGTTCCCGCGCGAGCCGGAAATGGTGACAGCGTTTGCTTGGGTATGAATCGGCTGGTCCTAAGAAAAGCGCACTCGTGAGCACACAGCTCCACACAGCTCCACTTGCCAAGACAGAACGTGCACGTTGTATGGTCCCGGCTTGGAATGGCGACTAAATGTGCCGTGGACGACATTACGAGTGGTTGATACCTTGGGTTCATTTTCTCCCATATCCGGACCTTCGGAGCCGAGGACTCGTTGAACGCTTTGTCCACTCAGATCAGTGAGAAGTGACTCCATGAACACGGGCAAGCTTGTAGAGACTCCCCTATGTCGGGCGATAAATTCTGTTCAATTCGTGATCGTTGATCGTTGGATCGTGTCCATAATCGGATAGAGCTGGGGGATGACTGGACTCACGTGGGATGCTTTCCGAGGCACTGGTCTTGATCGAGCAATTCACGAGATGGAAGAGAGCATTGCGACTGCGACAATTTACAACTGCGTGATTGACCGATGATGATCTAGTGTGCAGAAGGAGCGATCGATTCCATCGTTATTGGGCGGCACCCTTAGTGGTGCCCTTTGAGACAAAAGCGCCCAATGAGACCGGAATATCCACGACGACATACTTGTTTGATTTCTCCAAAGTGAAGCAGAAGAAACTTGAGGATTTTGGTTGTTTGAACACTTTCGGAAAGATAGGCTTGCGGATCATCGTCCTGAGAACTCGGGCACTGGAATAGCGTTGGGCCAAATACGATTGCGAGGTTGTCGATCCCCATTTTGTTGTGATGTTCGTGTGCTGATACAAACACGAGGAACTCAAGCAAGTACATGAGCGAAGCAGCGTTTGTTTCCGGCAGAGCCTTGATGCATTCTGCGAGATCCGCAGCGCATTCTGCACATGAACGACATCAAGGTTATGGCCTCGCCACGGTTTCGTTGGCACACGATCTGCATCGTGGATATCGAGAGCAGAGGCTATTCGTAGGACCCGTGTGGCACTTCGAGGCTGAAATCCCAGTCGAAAGCCGAGGCTATCGGTGACAATCGACCTTTATAACACCGGCTTTCATCCGATCGACCAACAAGCCCTCACCTCCAGCCTCGACAAATTGGTGGAAGTGTAGCTTCGGAATGATTCCTTCAGGAATCTCACGAAGCCACTGTTTGAATAGAGTGGCGACAGCAGGAACATCTGCTTCTGTCAACTCGGCGAACCCAATTCCCGATCCTGAGGTCGCAGATGCATATTCAGTGCTCCCGCTGGCTTATACTGTGCCTTGCTTGCGACGGCGCCATGGGACTAGGAATCCGACATACCGCTGTTGATTTTCTCTCGGAGCTCGCGAATGACTCGAGCTGAGCCTGCTGTCCGGAATACACCCTCGCAAAACAGATCTTGGCAATGCACGAGGGCAGAACGCGAAGAGTATTGGTGGGAAGTATGAGTGCCGCGGACTTGAGAGGATTGGCGCAAGAATCGCCAGCACCATGAAAACTCGAGAGAACATACGAATCGCCTCCAACCAAACCCTCTGCAGCCCAGGGCTGTATACCAAGTGCTGCTCGTCACCCGCATCCACTAAAAAGCCGAGTACGCAGGGTGTGGTTCAGACAAACCCATTCAACGGAATTCATCGCACTGTCATTGCATTCGGATGGCCTACTTGCTCCTGACTCGAAGAATTTGACGAAATCGGTCATTATCGGAGGCACGGGTCCATATGCTGTTATTGGGCTTTCGCCAGCAGCAGGCGATATACTGAGATTGATGCTGCTTGTATGCAGCACCGTCGACAGAGGCGACCCAAAATACGCCGAGCCGGAGGATTCCGTTGCAGATGAGGCCTCGAGGACACCACGGCTCGGACTTGGCCGTTTCCGGCCTCCGATGCCGGAGAAGCTAATGGTCCCCAGAAACTTCTTCATGGCTGGCGATCAAATCCAACAGGCGCAACATGAGCCAACTGGATGCGGGCATGTCGCTGCTGGACCTGGCCGTACATACCTGCTCCCGGCCTTGAATGATGCCAATCACTCTGGATTCCCGCGCGCTCCATCGACCTGAGGCAGGCCGAGCCAACCTCGAGCACAATCGTCCGGCCTCGGCCCCGTGCCCGCCGTCCCAATCAGAGCATTCTATCGACGCTCGGATTGTTGTTCTCGGTCGCTTCGAGCCGGCCGGCACTGTCCAGAAGAGCAGCCGATTCCCCCTCCCCTTCTCAGTCGGATGCCCGATCGCCATCGCCCGCCGTAGCTCAGCTCTCGATCGCCATCATCGCCAGGTCGCCCACGAATCCACTTTCGTCATCTATATCCTCTTTCTCGGGCTGCACATCGATCAGACACCAATGCCGCCGCTCTCAGCCGAAACCCAGCCCAAGCGGTCGAGAGAAGACCGTCTTCGGGAGCTGGAACGGGAGCGAGAGCTCTATGCTCGGTCTCGGCCGTCGATAACCCTCGATACACCCCGGGATTTGCGTCAAGACGGCTCCTCGGCCAAACCCCTCTCCGGTCTGGCACTAAACGCACCCACTCCGAGCTATGGTCGGCTCGACGAAGCCGCCTCCTGGCGAGAGACTGGTATTCTATTCATACGACTATTTCTGAGCGCTGCTGCCCTTTCGCCACGTTCGGGTGCTCTCTGATGTTGGCCGACGAATCCAAACAGACAGCTCCATCCTAAGCTCGTTTGCAAACCACATCTGACCATTACCATGGCCCTGCCGGCTCCGCCTATCACTGTCATTGCCATTGTCATTTTTGTCCCGATCTAAGGTCGCTGGCACCTCAAACTTGGTTGATGCACTCCCTCTTGACTGTCATTAACAGCCAAATCTCTGTGTCGTTTCACATTCAGCCAAAACAAGTGGCCGCAACAGCCCCATTGGCAACAAACTCAATGTAGGCAGCCGGTTGGCTGCCCGATCCGAGCCCAAGTCGGCCGATGCCTCGCTAGCGAATATAGATCCTGATCGCGAAGATACCCGAGCCAGAGAGAGAAGCATCCCGGCCAAGTCAAAGTCGTCCTTGGGGGATCTGGCCTCAAAGCAGTACGAGCGCGAACGCTTCGCCGAAATCCCAGACAACGAACGGCCTGGCTTGCCCGATCAAGATGACCCGAGATATCGCCAAGCGGGTGGAGTCGGTCTGGACTCGCCCGATTCCGACCTCCGAGACAAATACGGCCAGACCAAAGGTAAAGACGTCTGGATCGACCAGCCCCGGGAGTTTGGCGAGGAGGACATGCCCAATCCTCCCCGAGACAATTTGGTCGACAGCCGCGGACTGGAGCAAGAGAGGAAGAGATACTATACCTCGGAAAGGCCCCCGTTCCCCGAATACCACACCTCTGGCACCCAACGCAGCACTGCCGGCTTCGAGTCGCCGCGGGAAAGAGCCCTCGATCCGGACAGTGACCGAGACCGGGAGAGCAGCCGCGACCGCACGCCAAGGTTCACCGGCCGGGATACCGATAGCCGCGATGCAAGCACGCACCGCCGCACCACCTCCAGCGATGTGTACGGGAAATCCGCGAGGGACCTGCAGCCCAAACCGAAGGTAGATGGTGCTTCGTGGACAGGGGCTATGGCAGTCAAAGTTGCTGCTCCGGGGGAGAATAGTTGTCTGGAGGGGGGGGCTGTCTGCTCAAGTGCTTGTCACGCCCGGTCTGCCGATAGCTCATCCACTCCCAATTCGATTCATAGCTCCCCACGAACAGCAAAACTCTCCTTGTACTCCTGGAAGAAGAGCGAGCAAAGCATCTTCAGCTTGAAAGCGAATACCACAAACTCATTTCGGAGGTGCAGTCGCTGCAGACAAACCATCTTCTGGAGCTGCGCAATCAGGAGCGCAAGACCGCCAACGAAGTCACGCAATTGACGAGGGCCTTGAGTGCCAAAAACAAGGCATTCACCGACCTCAATGACGAGTACCAAGGGCTGGTCGCCAAGTACAACAAGGAGTCTGCGGCCTGGTCTAGCTTGAATGACAAGCTCAAAGCCGGGGTCGATACAGTCACCAAACAAGTTGTCGAGAGCGACATGAGGATCCGCAAAGTCGAAAAGTTCAACCAAGAACTCGAGGGTGCCAAAGCAGAGCTCGAGGAAAAACTCTCTCAGCGAGAACGTGACCTCAAGAAAATCATCCAGGTGTCCCGAGAACGCGATGGAGAGTGGATGAAGGAGAAAGAAAACGGAATGAAGCAGCAGGTGCATATTCTCCAGCTCGAGCACTACTGCTCTCAGCGCGACGAAGAGCTGAAGGCGCTCAAGGGTCAGCTCGCTCAGCAAACGGCCGAATGCCAAGCCCTCGGGGATGTCAAGATGCAGCTCCAAGAGCTGGAGAGAAAATACGAGACCCTGAGCAAGCGCGAGCGGCAGTGTTTGGATGAGCTTGAGCAGGCTGCACTACGCGAGCGCAAGCTTTGCAGTGACCTCGAGGCCGTGACAGCCCTCCAGCGCAAATACTCAAGCGAGGTCGAGCGCTTGATGGCACGAGAGCTAATTTTTATGCAAGATATCGATCATCTCAAGAGCGTCGAAGCAAAGCTACGTCTTGATGTCCAAGACAACCTCAACAGGGTCGCTTCACAGAAGGAAGAGCTAGATTCGCTCAATCAACAATACCGTAAGCTTCAATCCGAAAGCCTGCGTCTCACTCAGGACAATGCGGAGTACAAACACCTTGTGAATGACCTGCGGGGACATATAAGTGCTTGCGAACACGACATCCAGTCGCTCAAGGATGTGCAGGAGCAGCTTCGCAAAGAGCGCGACGATTTGTCTCTAGCGCTGTCCCAATGCAAGGCCGACTTGCAGCTCAAACTTCAGGAGCTTCAAGACAAAGACGCCCAGATCAACAACTTATCGATTCGAATCGACAGAGACACTCAAGCCATATCTGAGTTCAAGCTACTCAGCAAGGAAAAGCTCGCTGCCTTTCAAGAAAAGGTCTCCGACCTGACCTGTTCCCTGAATGAGCAGCAACTTCAGCTCGCCGAGGTGCGCGAGGTGGAAGGCAACCTGCGACAAATTATCCGCCAGCGTGACGAAAACATTCAGCAGCAATCCAAGCGTCTCTCTGACCTGACAACGTCTCTGGCAAATGCAAACTCTGCCCTTGCCAAGGAATCATACGACCGTGAGAGTCTCAAGTCCAAGTATAAAGAAGATCTCGCTGCCCTCCAAGACCGACTAAGCTACACCAAGCAGTCGCTCGAGAGTGATCTGGCAAACCTCCAGGCCCAGCTCGGCAACAAGGCCCAGCAGATTACAGGACTAAACGAAGAGCTCTCACGTACCAAGCTCGAGGCCACAGATCTCACAGCGGAACGCTTCCGGCTTGAGGCCCGCATATCTGAACTGCAGGCTAGCGAGGCCAGCTGTAACCGACAGATTGGGACGCTCTCGACTGCTTTGCAGCAGAAGGAGCAGGAAATTGTCGTCTTGAACTTGAAGCAAGGCAATCTCCTGGACCAGGTCCGCCGACTGGAGGATGAAGTGGCGAGCAGCCGCGTGATTGACCGCCAAAAGGACAGCGACCTTCAGAGACTGCAAAGTAATGTAAACGAGCTCTCAAAACGGCTTCGCAGTCAAGTTGAGCTGCTGATGGACCGCGACGTGGCGTCGATCCTCAGTGCTAGTCCTTCGGGTGTCCTTCGAAGCAGCGTCAGCACCCGGCCGCCTGCTCAAGCTATGCAAACGACTAGCAACGCTCCTCCGACGTTCTCACAGCAAACTAGCATGGTCGAGAGAAGAAATTCGACGGCATCGAATCGCATGGCCGGCAACATCATGGAAAGACACTATACGACCGTACAGCAACCACTGACTGCTCAGTATGAAAAGAACAACCCACAAAGCAGGAGCTACGGCGAAGGATTAAGCTTTGGAGAGAGCAGCAACTATACAACGACAACAGAGCGGCCGATTACCGGTGTTGATGAGTTAGACGGCACCAGTTATGATACTTCCGGATACGAACCTCGCCGTCCTGCTCCACTCAGTCGGCCCGAGAGCCGTGTCAGCGACCCCCCTGTGGCTCGTGCGATGTCCTTGTCCGGAGCACAGGTTGTAACGAACATTCGTGGAATGTGATCCTGGAAACAGTTACAAAATTTGCAACCGTGATCCAACCGGCGCTCCTGGTGGGGTATATGCCGAGTGCAGGGATATCTGTGCCGGCGTTTGCTGGAGCGGCCTGTTTGCTGGTAATGGGCAAGGCTGTTCCTGGAATAAACCACGGCACTCTCAAAGGGAACAGGTCACGCAGTGTTTGAGGCAATCGATATGTTTTCTTCTGTTTCTCTCTGAAGCTTGAATATATGCACATGTCAATCGAGTTTGTCCCGGGTACCTCACTCTTTGAGGGGGGGGGCGATCATCGTACCTGCGTTTCTCTTGGTTCACTGATTCCCACATTCGCACAACACGGCACCATCACTCGCCAAGGGAAAGTCTATGCAGCGATAAGGTTGCCAACCCAACTTCCCTGCTGGTCGCGCAGCCGAGGCCTGTGGGATTGTGGCTGGCCTTTGTGTGTATCGCATCGTTTCATGAAGTACCGTTGTCAACATATGCGGTCGATACTCGTAAGCGATGATCAACTCGCACTCAGGATCGTGCTTACATTCGTGTTGCCACGACGATTCAGGACTGGGACACGGGTGCGATGCATGGGCCTGATACCCGGGGGTGTAAAGCGTCTGGACCTCGAGAATGCTCTCGGGCACACAGGATCACAGGGTAGATGTGTGCGTGTTCAGAAGCCAGAGCCAGAGCCAGAACCAGAACCAGAGCCAGAACCAAAGAGGGGCCGTTGCGGCAGAGGCAGCAGCATCTACCCAAGCTTGGGAACGGGATGGTATCCCTGTTTTCTGGCATCAGATGCCTGAGGCATGCCGAACTTCCGCAGACCACAGTAAACAA